AAGACCAACCGATTGGACGAAAAACACTGCCAAAGCCCAGCAGTGGTGCCGTGGAGTATTTTGAAAAATGCCTCTGATGAGGCCTTTCCCGATTCCCGTTCGATGTGATTTTTCTACTGTTGTGATCACCGTTCCCTTCTCTACAGGTTAACCGGAGCAAAACACCCAACCGCAACGTGAGTCGGAGGAGTTGCTGCACTGGAGATCTCCGTCGCCGGTGAGTTTCGATTTTCTACATTATTTCGGCCAACCGATGGCTCTAAGTGTGTTTTCTCGCAGGAACTGATGCAAATTTGGCTGAATTCGGTTGAAAACGGCTAACCCGAGGCGGATCGCCATTGCTGAATTTTAAAAATTAGCTGAGTAGGCCCTGAGACTGATTTTTGGGTTAATTTGGGACATTTGTAGGTACCGTAAGCGCATTTCAGTTCTCGAATAAAAATTTAGGGAACCCAGGGACCACCCGTAGGCGTAGTAAACTATTTAACTTTTTGATGTCAAATCAAGTAAGGACCCCTCACCCTATTTCCTATCATGAAATTGAAGTTTGAATAAATGATAATACTATATTTTGTACAAATTAAATAGATGTGCATAAGTAATTATGGATTGCTAATGGAGCCCAAACCGGACATCACTCTTGGTTGATTTCTGTTGATTGATCTTGCAGTCTAAGGGCATGATGGTTTCTGGTTTATCTATTTTATGGTTTAAATGCATGTATTATTGTCTTACTTGATCACTGTTTAATTTTGGGATCTAAGATATGATTGCATTGCCGGATGCATGATTATTTATTTATGTAATTATGTTTTATTTGGTAACGGAGACTAAGAAAAAATAAGAAAGGGTGTTATATAATAAATAGATAAGAAGACAGTCTCACTAGATATCCTAGGAGATGGTGAACGGACCAGGTTTATAGGAAACCCTACCATACCAGACGGGATATGGAGACTAGGTAATTTTGTGCTCATACCGGACGGGGTATGGGGACGACCCACTTCACCCTCATATCGGACGGAGTATTGAGGTTTAATGTTTTGGCACTCATACCGGAGGGGGTATAGGGTCAGCTAGGTAATTAAGACTGTTAAGGAAAATGGTTCACGTGCAGCGGAGACACTCCTATGAATCCCCATGGATACTAGTAGGATGGTGAAACGAGATACGGTGATGATTTAGTTTATTATTAATAAATGTGAATTTATAATACGTTCTATATTGCTGATCGTGCATGAAGTTATGACCTGTATGATATTATTGTTTTTATAATTTATTTTCATAAATTTCTCAATGGTAAATAAAAGAGTAAATTGTTTTATTTTAAATAAATGTATTGGTTTAAATCTAATGCTCTATTGGTTGTTTTTGATTTTTTACCAACCTCTACTTCTGTGCCGGTGATATAGTGTGATGTCCTTACTAGATTAGTGTAGTTCACCCTTTATTTAACTATTTCAGATCAAGAGGAGTTGGTTCCCGAGCCCGATCTGTAAGAAGATTGTTAGTAGATGATAGATACTTTATATTTTCCTTTACCTTTCTTATTTCTCGTGTTTCTTTCAGAGAATTAATTCCGTGATGTTTGTTCTGTACTTTTAAATTATTGTGTAAGGGATGTAAACTTTAACTTTTTATTTCGCTTCCGCACTTAAATTATTATATATTTCGTTTTAGATTTACGAAATCGTTATAAATAAAGACTTAAAAATATAAATATTATTAACATATAATAATATTTTAATTATGTTTATTAGTCTAAACATAATTATATTTATTAAATGTTTATATATCAAATAAAAATTTATTATTATAAAAATAAAAAATATATATATATATATATCAATAGAGACTTAAAACACAAGAAGCATGTAAAGTTCCAGTAAGTTATGATCAGCAAATTCCGATCCAATCTCGTTCCTTGAATGCTCTTCTACCAACTCAAACCGATGCACCCTGAATCAAATGATTGAATTTGATGGGTTCAAATTGAAACAAATTAATAATAATTAATATATTTCATGCATTATTATATTAATTTTATTATACATTTAATTTCGTTTCTATTTCTATAATTTAAAAAAAAAAAAAACTGTAAAAATCTTTCGTACAACTACATATTTAATTTTATTCAAATCCTAATCTTTGATGGCCCTGACATAATACTTTTTCTATACAATTATTATTTGAATTATTAGGGTCAATAATTTTCTTGGTCAAAGTCAAAATTAGGCGATTCCAAAGCCTTTTGTTTTGTTTTTTTTTTTTTTTTAAAACCTTAAAAAAAGGTGCATGTGTTTTCCTATCTATCTATAATATGTTTTTATTTTCTAAAATGATTCTTCAATCTGAGAGTGACAGCAAAAACACCCTCTTGTACAAAATAAACCACTAATTATTACACATGTTCCCTAAATTTCAAATAAAATTAAAAGAGTCTTTTGGACCATTTCCCCTGATTTTGACAAGGAGAATACATTCGTCGTCTGCATATTTTGTTTGGTCTCTGGAAAAAGAAAAATCATTTCTCATCTGGACAGAACTGGATTCCCAACAATTGACGTAGAGACACCGTAGGAAAGATCAAAATAGTTCATAAAATCCGGGATTCTCATGCCTCAGAGAACTCCTGAACCCTCCCTGCTTATGTTTAGATAATTTTTATAATGATTCATTAACGTTCAAATTTAATCATATCTGAACGATGATCTATTAATATCTAAGTAGTAAAACTGTTTTTGTTTGAATTAATAGTATGATATATTTATATATTTAAATAAATTATTTATTTTGTTATATAATAATAAAAAAAATATTATATTAAATATAAAAAATAATCGGAAGCATCATAAAATACGGATAAAGTAGTAATACGCATTTCAAACATATATCACAAAAACTATATCTTAACAAATATTGCAATGTAAAACATAATGGAATAATCTAGAAGTTATTGGAACAAAGATTTGTGGTAAAAGATCTGTGAAGTGGGTGAGAAATGAAGAGAAAAATCGCAACTACCTACACGGTCTAAGTATCTTAAAAATCTAAAAGCCGTGTATGCACAAATTGAACAACTAAACTTACGAAATCATCATATACTAATTATATTTCAGAAAATTCATTCAAGCTACTTTTGAACTATAAATTCCATACTTCCAAAACGATCATGTATCAAGTAATAAATATCCTTGTGGCTCAACAATCAAAAGGAATAACACATGCACACAAAAGAATCCTTTCTTTCTAATGTTTAGTTAACATCTGATACTTTGGATTCTAAATTTTTATTCAGCTTAACCCAATTGTGGTTGATCCAAACATCCCAAAACCAGCTGTGCGGCAGAAACTATGGCCTTAATAAGAAAAAAGAAACCCACTAAAGAGAGATGAAAACAGCTTTGACTTTGGATAATTAAATTCCCACAAGCAATTTCGTATAATGGTTACAGCAGTAGCAGTTTTTCATGTTAGGAGGAGACATAGTCCATGGGACCATAAGGTTCAAAAAAATCAGCAAAGAACCCTCTCTAACTCCTACCCTTTAGCCTCTTTCTCCAAGCTATAGGTAATAATATAGCAAGTTAATCAGAATTCACTTTCACGAAATGCTATTGTTTAATTTTTAATATCTTTGCAACTTTAGCACAAACTTTGTTTATCCCTCGTATAACTCCATATGCATGTTTGAGGTTAACATTCATGGTTCTACCAAGTTCATACCGCCTTATTGTCATAGTATTACATTAATTTAAGAACTGGACACTTAAGGGATTGTTCCCAACGACCCCAAAACATATGGTATGAATACACATACTTAACCTAAAATGATGAGATAAAACATATATATATATATATATATATATATAACTCGCGTAACTAAATATATATGCAAGAGAATTCAAAGTCAGAAATTTCTCCATTTCACCGAACTTGGGAGACTACAAATATGCAGTTTAAACGATTCAACTTTGCACTTTGGCTCAAAACACAATAAGAATGGAACAAATTTTCCAACAAATGGAACTTATCTGAGTGAGACCCGACCTCGAATGCATTGAAAAATTTACCCATAGAGCCAAAACGCACTGAAGCTGCTAGTTCCGGAACGAAGCATGGGTGGGTTTCGGTGCTGTAGCCAGGTGGAACTCGACTATTGATGATTTTTGAAGTCAACTGTGGCAGAGTTGACTAAATTTGGCTGTTTCAGAACTGGCAAAATTTGTGTCCGAAACATCACGGTGCCTCTCTCCCCGGAAGGAAGTCGCGCTTCATCGGCAGACAGCAGCAAATTTCTGCAAAAGAAGGAAACTGGAGTGTCCTAAGCAAGGCATGCCATCGGCTGCCCTAAAATTTGCCGAAATAAGCTGAAATTGGTGATGGCAGCGAGGCACGGTGGAACTAGAGTGTGATTTTTGCGAATGCTGTGCGGGTTGCAAGACCCTCGGTTTACTCGAGGAGGGAACTCCTTGACAGATGACAGGCTGATCACCCAAAGCAGATGGCGGTGCAGGAATTGTTGAAACAGACGCTGGCCAAGACTCAAAGCAACTCCCTTCCCTCTCTGGAGAGAATGTCCCGGGAAAACCTCTAATAACGCCAGGCAAAGAAATTACAACCTCAGAAATAAATTGAAATTACTTGCATTATGATTTGAGACTTCGACTCACCTGAAAAAGGAAACGCGCTGAGATATGGTCTGTATATTTAATTCTTCAGAAAATAATAATTTGTTATAAGATACGTAGGATTTTTAATCCATTCTACTCAGATAATGTAAAATAAAATATAAATAGTAATAGAATTTGAAATACTTTGTTTTACATTCTTTTAACAATTCAAATAATCAAAGTGTGCTCTCACTTATTTTAAAAGTAATTTATTTCACAAAGACATAATTTTTGTGGTAAAATTAAGTGGAATCATCTGTAAAAATAAATGAAAAGAATCCTAAATTAATTTCCTAGTTAGTCCAACACCGAATAAGAAAAAGAAAATTTTAGTCCAACCACAAGTGTGCTCTTCTTTAAAGAAGAAAAATGGCAACTTCAAAATAAACTTGTTGTGAAGACAAGTTGCTTCTTATTGCAACAAGTTCTGTGTCATACAATTATCTCAAAAATTATTTCAAAAGAATATCACCATTACTGACAACTCGGCCGGAAAACAAACCCTTACTGGTATAGAAGGAAGGAACTAAATTTTTAGCAGACGCGCTTCCCCATTAAATAAGAATTCTTCCAAGAATTCTCAGTCCAGGTTAGCAATGACAGCATCGACAACCTCCTGTGTGGTGCTAGTACCACCGAGATCTTTGGTCCGATACTTACTCTCCAAAATTACAGTCTTAACAGCAGTCTCAAGTCGATCAGCAAAGGAAGGGAACTGGAGATGCCTTAGCATCATGGCCGATGAGAGAAGCAAAGCCACAGGGTTTGCATTTTTTTGTTCCAATATCTTTTCCTTTCCTACATTCCCTGCCGAGGCACCTTGCTCGAAAATGGCATGGTCAGCTCCAACATTGCCTGCAGTTACCAAAAGACAAGTTCAGATGCTCAACACCCTCATCTGGAAACTGTGTAAGAATAGCATGTTCTCCATTAATTCTTTCTACAAAAAGATTGCAGATATATATATCTGCACAACAATTTCCATTTCCATTTAAATCTATATGGAAAACAAATGCTCTCCCCAGGATTACTTTCTTTTCATGGGAAACAGCTAAGGAGAAAATTCTAACTTTGGATAACTTGATGAAAAGAGGTAGAACTTTGGTCAACCGGTGTTTCTCTGCAAAAGCAAATGCTGAAAGCTGCAACCATATTCTGTTATGGTGCCCTTTCTCTACAGATTTATGGTCTATGATTTACAGCTTGATAGGTATTAATTGGGTAATGGCGGGTTCTATTTATAGAGAGCTTTTGGCATGGGAAGGTCTATTATCTTATAACAAAACTGCTTGCCTTATTCCCTTCACTATTTTTTGGATTTTGTGGAAAGAAAGAAACAACCGTACTTTTGAAAGTACAGAAAATACTCTTGTAAGATAGTTACACCATTTTGCCTCCATACTCTTAGGTCACAATTTACTATCCTTAAAAGATATTGGAGTGGTTGTTGATATGCTAATTAATATGTAACATCATTTTGTAAATGGGCGGTACCCTCTTGGAACCTTTTAATTCTATTCTTCTTTTATTTCAAAAAAAAAAAATGTCAAGTTGATATGAAGAGGCTAAAAAGGGTAAGGAAAATGCTTATAGAAATAGGGAGCTACCTCCAGGCATGACACCAGTCCCTCCAGCAATACCAGCAGCAGTGTTCGCAACAAGATTACCATACAGATTAGGAGTAACCTAGAAAATATAAAAGAACTTTTTATCAAGAGAAAAAGTAACAGTATCTAAGTACTTATCGAATTATCCAAGCACAAATTAGATAAAGAAAATAAGATGCAATTTAAGGAAAAAAAAAAACAATAAGGATGTGGAAGTTTCTGCATATACAATTTTAGCTAATTGTTCAGAATTATCCTCAGCAACAGTAAACTCTTCTCATCTTGACTTATTAGTCTTATTTTCAACAGCCATTCATAGCCACAGATAAAGGGGACATGCACAGCTGTTGGTTGACAACCATTTTAAAGAATGATCATATATCACAAACATGGATCCTCTGAAGCACCACAGCAATAGCAACTGTTGCATAGTTTTTTTTTTTTAGAGAAAACATAATAAACTATTGAATAGTAATGAATCAGCATATCAGTTGGACAAGCATGATAAATGAAAAGTAGGCAAAAGGTTTTGAAGATGGAGATTTAGGAATGCAACAAGCCAAGCTAATTCAATCACCAGGTTAGTCAAACCTTTCCTTACATAAACTTGATATTCAGATCAACCTTACTTATCAGCCTGAGGCCCTGAAGTCTATTTCCTCGCACGATCAAGATTGCAATACTTTAAGGATGGCTTCAGTCAGGATTGCTTTGAGCTGTATGGTGTCAGGAGCTTTAGACATTAACTCTGACAACACTGGATCAGGGTTCAGTGAGAATATCATCGATTCAGGTGAGAGAGATGAGAGAGGAAATTAGAAAGAGTAAGAGGAAGAATTAGAGTTCAAGAGAGTTCCTCAGAGGGATTTCTGATTGAGATTTGATATTTTTCTTCGAAAAAATTTGCATAAGGGTGCGTAATCTGGCTTACACCCATCTTCTACCTCTCTCCCTCCCTAGATTACAACAGAAATTCACAAGAACAAAAAGGACAAAACTAATGGCAATACCGTTCATCAAGTAATCTCAGATTACTCAATAAGTAACAATTCACTAATAAAAATGCATTAAGACTAAGTACGCCAACCTGGTCTCCTGTACTCTGCACTAAAATTTCCCTAGCAACCTCTTCTGTAAACCTTCATGGGTTTGCTAAGTGGCATCCCTGCATTCAACATCTATGGTTGGACTCTGTGCTGGCATATGCCACGCAACCCATTGAACATTCTCCTTCCATATCTCAATGATGGTTTTGCTGCTCTGGTGGCTACCTGGATGCTTGTAGAGTTCATCCCAATGACGTCGATAGGCAAGCGTGGAAGCTCAGCAAGAGTAGCTCTCCTCCATGAAGTCTTTATAACCACATCTTAGCCCTGAATCATATTATGGACTGCTCTCCTAGAAAGTAGACTTGTAAACCAAAGCTTCTTCCCAAGTTGTGTTTCCTTCTCTTTTTACTTGTGAATACGAGTGGAGGATCGTCACCTTCAACAACTTGATGAAAGAGGCAGAGTTCTAGTTAACGTTTGCTTTCTTTGTTTAAACAGAAGGATCCTCCTCAAGCGACAAAACTTCAGGACTCAGCTCTCAATCTTCTCAGCATTAATTGAGTGCTTGGTGGGTCCATTCTCCATGGTGGAGAAACTGGGGGCTTTAGAAAACATCAGAGTGGGTCTACCAAGGAAGAACTTTGGGTCCCTTATCTCCTTAGCCATGTTTTTTATCATTTGGAAGTCAAGACACAAAAGAGTATTTGGTGTTTTGCTTTTGCAGATCTCCTTTGCACACCCCATCCCTCAGTCTACAAGTTAAAATGACACCTTTCTCATAGGGTGGGTGATCATAAGAGGAGGAGAAGTTATACAGACTTGGAACTTAAGGATGGTAGAATAAAGAGATATCCAACGGCTATTTGGCATGAGATCATGGGCTTTTAGAAGAATTTATATGCACATGAGGTTGATCGATGCTTTTTTTTACATGGGTGGCACCCCCTTGGTGCTATGATCAATAATACTCTATACTTTTTATTTCAGAAGAAGATGTTTTTAGTTAAACAACTTCTTGTTTTCTCTAGCTACCTATTATAACATGTCTACCTTATATGTCTTGATCTTAATTTCAGGTTTTTTTAATTCCTTTCCCTTATTCTTTTATATTTACACCTAAATGTTGTCTACTTCTATGCAAGCCTGATAAATGGGTGTAAAACCTACTTGTCTTACATCTCTTAAAGTTATTTTGGATCCAAAACAAGTAAATATGCAGATGGATCCTTAATTAATTGGCAAAAAGAATGGCCACGAAAAATCAAACCCAGTACTGAGTATTGCTAGTCCCTTGATTTACTCCTCCATTAATAACAAAATTATATTATCTAAGCTATTGATGTTCTCAATGAATCTACAATGAGAAAGCCATGCCCACTTTTGGGAATCCAAATCTGCCCACAATCCATGGCCACAAATGAAATGCAATCCGAACACAGATCGTGATTGGGCAGGCCAGCATACCTGGTAACTGTGCATAGAACATTAAAAAATCCCATTGAAAAGTTCCATAGAGTCGAATTTGTATTTATTTAGTTCAATTCAAGAAAAGCAACTTCTTGACCATGTTAAATTCAGCTTTGAACCATCAGAACCCAAGAAGAAGATGTGTCTGAATATCCAGCAAAATGGAAGATAAGCATCAATGAGAGATGGACTTGCTAGTCTTTAGATAAGAATCAATAAGATTATCAAACACCACATACCATGACATCAAATTGCTCTGGTTTGGAAACAAGTTGCATGCAGCAGTTATCTACAATAATCTCACTGTATTTGATACTTGGATATTTTGTAGCAACCTCTCGGCAAGATTCCAAAAACAAACCATCTGCCAGTTTCATGATGTTTGCTTTGTGCACAGCTGTAACTTTCTTTCTGTTGTTCAGGTATGCATACTCAAAGGCATATTTTGCAATACGTTCTGAACAGAACTTTGTAATCACCTAGCAAAATGGTAAGATGAGAAGCTAACAGACAGAGAACACAATATAAAAAAATTTAACAAATTATTTGCTATAAGCACTACTAATCTGATCTTTGTTTTTCTGTTTAAAGAACCCATGTTGGCGTGCAAAAATTTTTCATCTTACATTAGTTAGAGCTTAGAGAATCTCTTTACTTATGAGGAGAGATACCTTCTCTTCCAAGTATGATTGCCTTCAACAATATAAAATTACAGCTGGATCATACTTCACTTGGATCAAAATAACTCTTGACCAAATTACAAAGAATAAGAAATGGTAAAATTCTCACTTTATGATGACTTAAACTAAGTGCACACTCTTTTAACAGGGCTCAGGTACAAGTGTCTAACTCCTTTGTGCCAAAGATAAGAGGACCTACTCAAGTCACAAACTGGACATTAGTATTTGGATTCATTTAATATGAAAAATAATAAAACTAATACAATTATGAACTCAAGACAGGAGTTTGGATTAACTTTTCACTGCAAAATAAGATTTCATTAGTACATTTACCCTCAAAATAGACTCGTAAACAAGCAGTAAGATTGTTATCATTGTTCTCACATTATCATATATCATAACCTCTAGTTTTATATCATCAAGTGCTCAACATGCACAGCCATTGTAGACCAATCCCATACCAAATTAATGTCGCATCAAGTCTGGCACAGGCGTGGCAATAGAAATAAAGGGCCAGACAACATAGGATGCTCATCCGACCGACCTCTTTATAGCACAAGCAGCCATAACAGCTCACTCTCATTTACTTAGACAAGTATTTAAATTTTCTAAGACTTAAGACAAATTAGAATCAAGGAGAGACCCTCTTGATTCTTACCTAGCTTCTAGAACCACTCAAATACCTTGTTAGTTTAGATAAGTAAATCAACGCTTTTATTTTCTCTTCTTAGCAAACCTTCTACAAACAATAAGTTCTTCCAAAATGCAAATCAGGTAGCATGGTAATTCACAACACAAAGATTCTTCCAAACAATAAGTGACTAAAATTCCCTACTGCTCATCACCATGCCAACATTGACTTTCCGAAAATTTGGTGCTATACTCACAATACAAAGATCACACATAGATTTGCACAAACAACTTAGCTTGGTGGAATCAAATCAAGTGCAAATCACCCGCGAAGCAGGGGACAAGCAGCATCATATGTGAGCGGTAACTCATTTAGTGGAACCCAACCTTAACACTGGAAACCTATAATTAAGAAGAAAAAGTTAAGCTCCTCCTCTCACTTACACGATAGTATCACCAGAAAAATACAAAACTTTTGTCAATCTGCAGCCTAGGTGCTAAGAGCAACACACTACACCAGTAAACAGCAGCAGTGGAAAAAAAATTTCAGCTCATTTACCTGTCATAATGAATAAAGTTATCACTAACTTTTATCCAAAAAAGCAAATAAAGCTATCACTAACAGCAATCCTAAGTATTCTATAACAATGTAACACAGATCAAAAGTCACAAAAAACCCTATTGTCCAGATAATTCACCAGTGAAACCAAATAAGCCAAAATAAAACAAAATACGGAAAAAGAAAATACAAGCAAATCCATCGGTGTAATTACCTTGAGGCTCTCGACAACGCCGGGAACGACCTCGTGCTCAAGCCCAGAGTACTCCCCTTCCGTGTTCTCTCTGATCACCACAATATCCACGTTCTCATGGCGCGTGGGCAAACCAGGCAAGTTAAAGCAGTTGACAAGGGAGGCGTACAAGTCCAGCTCCTTCCTCAGCTGCATGTTTAGCGAACTCACTCCGCCACCCACCGGCGTCTTCAGACCGCCCTTGAGGCACACCTTATTCTTGCGTATTGACTCGATAACCTCTTCCGGCACGCGCTTCATATCCCCGTGCACCTCGTACTTCTCGAAGTAGACCGGCGCATGCATCGCTTCCATCACCTGCTCCACCGCGTTGGTCACCAGAGGCCCGATTCCGTCGCCGGGTATCAGAGTGACGGGACGTGGAGCTCCGTCTCCCGGCCGGGGCATGTAGGTGACGGATCGGGTTTGGAGATCAGGTCGGGACGTGTTTCTCGCCGTTGTTGAGGTCAGATGTTTAAGGAGAGAGAGGCAACGCCACCGGCGAGACATTTTCCGTTTCTTTTTTTCCGATTGCTGGAAGAGCCCGTCTCTGGATCGAAGGAAAAGCTTTTCTATTCGGATTTTCTGTTTTTATTTGCTAAATTGATTGCGAGAGTAAGTAGGGGATGCAACCATGGAAGAGCCAGAAGAAGAAGAGCACCAATCGGAAGGCAAGGCAGAAAGAAGGGTTTTCGGTTTTTGGCGAGCAATTATTAAGTGCTCTACTAAAATTAAAATTACAATATAAATCTGATAATTTATTTTGTTTATGAAATAATTAACAATTTTTAAAAAATTAATATGTTCTTAGACATCTTATTTTGGTTGGTCTTTTCATTTACAATAATTTTCACAAGGAGTAAAATTTAGGAAATTAGCATAAAGCACTTTCCTATTTTGTCCCGCTATATATTTTAGGTCATTGTTATTAAAATTTGACTAATTTTGAATTAGCTGTCAAAGAAAAAGTATCATATTAGCAATTAATTTGTTAATTTACTAGTTAAATAGTAATTAGATAGTTTAATCCTTTAATTTAAAAATTATAAATTAAAAGATTACATGCAACAAATTAATAAGGAATTATTTAAATTACATGAACAATAACGGTTAAGATTAGAAAATATATAAAAATATCAAATAATACATTAAATATGGAAATTAGATGTTAAAAATTTCAAGTTATATAGTTTTAAAGAAAAACTAAGCTCATTATATTTTTTTAAGGGTTTAGCCTTTAACAACATTCAACGAATTTATTTAAATTATACAATAGTTTAAGAATTAATAAAATTAAATGAGTAATAATTATTAAAACTAAAAAATATATTAAATAATATACTATATACTCAAATTATTTATTAAATACTTTCAAGCAGAATATTAAGTTTTATGTCGATATAATAGATTATTGTTTGAGTTCTTAATGTTTATCTAATTCAAATTACATTATTATGTGGTTTTGTTTACAAAATATTGAGTATGATCAAATAGACTATTGCATTTTGTGTGTGTGTTTTTTTTTAAAGTTTGAACATTAGAATATGATTTGTAACTATGTTCGTGAGGTTGTTACAAGTGTTGTTTATTACTATTTTTAAATTCTTTATTTTTTATTCTTAAATTATCGTTTACCAAAAAATTATATTTTAGAGATAGTAAAAATGTCCCAAGTTTAATTTTTAGTACTATTTTTCATACTCGTACCTATATAAGTTTTGTAAATATGTTTTAGTTTGAGCTACTTAACCTACAAATGAAAGAAGAATAAAGAGAAAATAAAATGAGTGTCCAATGAAACGGGCCTAAACCATGTGACAACCATATAAAAAGAGATATCTCTATAAACTCATAAATGTATCTTTCAAGTAGGTGATGTCAAGTGGGGTGTGGTAGGCCAACGAGGGAAGCTAGTCTTCGCAGGTGTTGCCTTTGTGAGGGATATGAGAAAACTAAATCTCTCAAGGCTTGTTAAACATAACAAGAAGTTGATTAAGAATTATACAAGGATAAGCCTATCGAACACTTCAATGCTAAAAGTGTTGAAACAAGTGCATGGAATCAACCTTAATGATGAGTTTCCTAATGCTCAAAGTCCAAACAATGTTGAGGTCTTCCAAGACCCCAAGGGCTCAAGCGTCCAATCACCACTAATACCAATATTAGTCATAAAGCTAGTACTAATACCAACATTACTCATAAAGCTAGTACCAGCCACCAGTAGTGGCATTGTTTTGGAGACTCTAAGCGGAGCCATCAGTCTTAAGCTTGTACCAGTCATCCAATCTAGAGATAATGTCTAATAGTTTCTCTCTCTCTCCTGCTAGATAGATTCTTTCTACTATAAGCATCTTGGAACTTTGACATTATATGAATAACATTGTTACTATCAAGTACCTAAGTATGGTGATCATCATTGTGAAAAAATTCATTTCTCTTCTTCTAAATGATTCATGTTGTAGTTAAAAAAAACGATCATTTAACGTATAATCTCTTACTTACTGACATTGTTATAGAGATTACACCTAATTACACATAAAAAATAAAAATAAAAAAATCTCATTAATAAAACTTATATCAATTAAATCTTATCAAACATGTTAATAAATAAGGCAATATCAATTGGTGTGCAATGCATCTTCTCTCCTCTTGCTACACCTAAGGCAAATTATCATTGTCAATCATAAGACTCTACTTTCTCTTTATATTAATTACTATACGATTAGACATGAGAAGCCAAAAATTTTTTAACATCCTCAAGGTATTCGAAAAACTTTTCAAATTTTATTTTTGAGTTCTCTCGTTCGAAAAAGTAAGAAAATAATAAGTTGACTTCATAAACATATTCTCATCATTAGAATTAGTCCAAATTAATTTCTCAACAACATTATCATCGATATTAAGTATAGTTTAAGCAATCCCAAGCCAAATATTCAAGGTTACGAGATCCCTAAACTCCTACCAACACAAGCTCCTGTTCGTATCCCTATAAAAAGCAACCTTCCTCTCTACGTGATGGGAAGGTATATGAAACACCTTCGGTAATTATAGCATGTGGTTTTTTGCTCTTGTTTTGTGGCAGATAAGTTGGTGTGGACATTACATATGTGTTTAAGTCCTGATATCGCAATTATTTATTTCCCAAAAACTCAAAATTTGACTTGCTGCTCTTCTCTTCCCTTTGTTCTAATTAAGGTGCAGTAAACTTAAGATCCTTCTAATTTACTTTAGTATTTATAATTGACAGTAAAAAGTTTGTTATTTTAAATAATAATATCAAAATATTTTTAGGAACTTATTATGTTAAATTAAAATATATAATAGAGGTAATCACATTTTAAAGCATTTATAAAATTTATTATATTATCATTTATTTTAATTTAATTATTAATTTCATTAAATTCAAACAGTTGTATTAAATTTAAATAATTAAGTTACATGAAAATCAATTTCAAAATTTTGGAAAAGAAGATTTGAATTTATTTATTTATATTGTAATATTCATAATCAATATTTTGAAAACTTAAGTCTCAATTTTAGTAAAATTAAAATTAATGGTTTAGAAATTTTGAATTAATTAAATTTCCTGGTCATACTCGTTTCATTAGCAACCCATGTATAAAAAATAAAAAGTTGCCGGCTAATACTCAGCTTTTGAGAAGAGGAAAAGATCAGCACGTCTAAAATATTTGTCTGCAAGAATTCACAACTCAGATGAAAAATGATTTTGTAATTAACTCTAAAACTGAAATTGCAATATATTTTTGTCACACCTAAATTTATTTTATTAAGTTATTATATGAGATTCTAAAAATAAATTCAGCACGTGTGAAGGGCTAGTTATGTTATAAATCAATAATATTTCTTACAATAGGAAAAATAATCTAAAAGGATTAGGTTTAATTACTATGATATTATCATAATCTATTTATCTTAGAGAATTTTATTATGTATAAACAATTCATAGAACAGATTCAGACACACGGCTAATCTACATTTAGCTGTGATTTATTATTATTATTATTATTATTATTATTATTAATACAACTTGTTTATCTTTGACATTGAATTTTACAATTTACTATTTTTATGAATTTCAGTTCTACATAATTGGTTAATTAAATTATTTTTTTAGTTATAAAGCTACACTCAGGAATTTCGTATTGATATCATATTTATTGTAAGTGAGGTTTCATATGGGACTTAAAATATAAATTTATTAATATAATTTGGACGAACATTTAAAACTCCATAAGCGCATATATGTATGTGTGTGTATACAGATTCCAACTGATAATCAGAAACGAACAAACCATATTTCTTTTGAAAAGTAGAAGAACAGATAATACAAATTAAGAAACAAACACGACGTCTAGCTGTAGGTTTTCATGACTTACGGCTGCAGATTTTTATGATCAAAATGAAAGCGTGTTTGTATTTCATGCAGAGGTGATTTTATTCAACTCAAGAAAAATGAATATCTCGACGAGGCAAACTTCTTTATTTATAAAGAATGATTATGAACTTACAGTATGTTATAACAGAAATTTAACCTCAGCTTTCAGCATTTTGAATTCAAGACGTATTATCCAAAATTCCTTGTCTGCATCTCTTCCATACTTCATCTTGCAATTGTTCATTGCCCATGTTGCTTATCGCATCTCCTTTTACGCCACCAAGTTTATTGGCCTTCCTCATGTTGTCGCCCAGATTCTTGTGAGTTAAATTATTTATATAGGCAGATTTGTTTGGTTTGATTTTTGTGTTAAAATATATTTTATATATGTATATGCAGTGCGGGGCGTTGCTTAATCCATTGGCAACTGGAAATTCTGGTTTCAAGTATTACATATTTCCATATCAATATGCGATGGTGGTGGAGACATTTGCAAATCTGGGTTTGGTGTACTACATTTTTTTGTTGGGTTTGGAGATTGATTTCTCTCTAGTCAAGCGATTTGGAAGTAAGGCTCTTAGCATTTCCATCGCTGGACTTGTTGGCACATTTTTTGTCGCCGTTTGTAGTATTAGCGTGCGTTCAAGATTGAAGGACGACCAGAACACCAATGAAAATGGTGAAGTAATGTTTTGGGTAGTAGCTCTTGGTGCTACAAGCTTCTCTGATCTTGCTAAAATTCTTTCTGACCTTAAGCTTCTTCGCACAGAAACAGGCATGACAGCCATGTCTGCTGCCATCATCACCGATTTGATTACTTGGCTTTATTTCATAATCACGGTCGCATACTTCGTCACCGAAAAACATAGAGCTTTATCCATCATCAGCACGCTTGCTTTTGCCTTGATATCTTGGTTTCTGGCACGTCCCATTTTGTCTTGGGCCGTTTCCAAAACAAGTAAACAGAGGAATGAGTCTCACCTATGGTTTGCTTTTATCGGGGTTGCACTCTTTGGAACTATCAGTGACGTACTTGGTGCCCATTCTATCGTGGGTGCTTTCATTTTTGGGGTTATCATGCCAAGAAGCCATGGATTCAGCAATATGCTTACAGAGAAACTTGATGAATTTGTATCTACCATTTTGATGCCTCTTTTTTATTTCACCAGTGGGCTAAGAACTGATATTAGATATGTAGTAATTAATGTAGAGATGTCTTTTCTTTTTGTTACGGTTCTTGGGAATTGTGCAGCCAAGGTTATAAGCACTTATCTCGTCTCATTAAAGTATGGAATGCCAACTAGAGATGGCCTGGCTTTAGGATTCCTCATGAACACCAAAGGAATTTTCCCCCTCATCATCCTCAATGCTGCTCGTGACATGCAAGTACGTACATATATAATATATATATATAGATATCATCCATCGTTGATGTTCATAATTACTCTACTTATGCATGCATGAATATACTCGAGTAACAAGTTTCAATTCCATGTGTAGGCTTTGAGCAACCGATCCTTCCCTCTCTTGGTGCTGATTCTCTTAATAATATCATGCGTAACGAAGCCCATCTTGTCTCGCAATTATAGGCTCAAAAATGTGTTTGGGCTTAGCATTACAGAAAAAATGACTCAATACACAGGGTTTCGGATCCTAGCATGTGTTCATAACTTGGGCAATATATCAGGAATTACCAACCTTATAAAACTTTCTAATCCAGCCCCACAATCTCCACTCTGCATCTTCGCCGCCCATCTTGTAGAATTCACAGGCCGTACTGCAGCCTCTGTGCTCATCATGAAGGATGAATACAAGAGTTTTAAATCAGGTAAGTTTAACGATTATTGCTCAAAAATTGAAGAGCCTGACCAGATTGCCAACGCTTTTGCATCCCTGGAGAAGGAGGATAACTCTCTCACATCTCACATCATCACTGTTGTCTCCCCTTTTGACACCATGCACACGGATATTTGTACCCTAGCTAAGGAAAAATCTGTCCACTTTATCATCCTACCTTTTCAGAAAGATTCTGGAGAGGAGAACCAAGATTCTGAAAATATCAATGAAAAAGTGCTTAACAACGCCCGTTGCTCCGTTGGAATACTCGTTGACAGAGGGATGAGTGTAACCCGTTCAGATTCACAAAAGTTGACGGGTGATCGTAGCTTCCACGGGTATCTTCCACCTAAAATATTATCCAACAAACAAATTATCATGTTCTTTCTTGGAGGACCTGACGATCGAGAAGCTTTGATGTATGCATGGAGGATGGCGGGAGATCCAAATGTAAGCTTAACAGTGGTGAGATTCGAGATGAGTGCTGATGAAGCACAAACAACAGAAAAGACATGGCAGACGGAGAAAGAAATGGACGAGGAGATTTTGTACGAGTTCACCTTCAAAACTGCGAATGATTATTCCATAATATATAAGGAGAAAGTAGTGAATGATGGGGTAGGAGTTATACAATCTATAAAAGAAATAGAAGACGCCTACCATTTATGCATAATTGGACGAGGGGCAAAAGTAAAATCGCCATTGTTAAAAGGTTTATCAGACTGGGAGACATGTCCAGATTTGGGAACAATTGGAGATACCTTGAACTCATCTAACTTCCCATTGCAAGCGTCGATTCTAGTAGTTCAGCAATATTCACCAACTCACGATGGAAATTGAAGGCTATCAATTTAGCAATGTTAGCCATTCATGAATAATCATAAAGCCATAAATTATGATTTTATTCAGGCTTAAATTTTTCATGCTAATTTAATTACTTTTAAACTATGTTTACTGACGTGTAAGTTTAAGTTTTGATCTATAAGTTCGACATTTCTTAATTAGGAGATTGTTTTATTGTATATGATTGTTAGGAAGTTATGTTATCCGTGTTTTTTTATTAGTAAATTATTTTATTATTAGTGTGTAGTTGTGTTGAGATATAAATAGAATAAATTTCTGAAAAAATTGAACGATACGAAAGAAAGTGAAGAGAGAAAAATAAAAGAGTTTTTTTTGTTGTTGGGAAAGTGTTCAATGACTTACACTTTTCCATTAATTTGATATATATATATATATACAAAATTGAGGAAAAAATTTACAGATTAAGTCACCAACTAATTCTACAAACTCTAAAGCATATCATCATTAAATTAGAAAAGCATAGAGCTGAACAAAAATTATGGCCCTTCATTTCTATCTGACAGCTTACCCCCTAAAGTTGTCCAACATAAAAGAAGTAGAAAACAGATAATTCTGGAGCTAAAATGATAAAAAAAAGTCAATTTCTCATTCTATGAAAACTCAATCTTTAACACTCCTTGAGTTTTACATTGAACAATTAAGTTTAACTCTCAAATCTTTAAATTTACAATCAACAAAGCTTTTATATCAATAACTTGATCATAAGAATTGCAATACACCAAATGAACTTCATCATGATACTTCACTAGACCATACAAGGCTTTTTTAAACTTATATATCATGTCAGTCTTTCTATCAACTACAAAACCCTGAAGTTGTTCAATAAAAAACTTCTCCTGCATAGCAAGCTGTCACTCCTTGTACATCAAGGTTCTTCATAGTTCTGTTGGTTTAATGAGGAGCAAATTGCATCTTTCATAATTCTCAGCCAATAATTTAATTTTTGTATATGGTGTGTCTGCAGTTGGATCATCAAATTCTGCAGAATCAAATTGAACCTTTCAATAAGAACACTTTAGAAACTTGAAGTTACAACAAATGCATTTTTTATTAGCTTCTTTGCTTCAAATCCCAATTCTAAAATGTTGATTCATCAACAAGTACATCTCTACTCTTTTGCATAAACTTTAAAGAATCACTATTGTCATGATTAAATCTTTTGTGCCACAAACATTTCAAATCATTCTTAGCAATACAAGTATATTGATTTGCATATTTCAAACCAAGCACATAACTGTTGTCTTTTTTTTTTTTTTTTTTACTTCTAATATATTTGCATAATCATAAATAAAGTAATAATCATTTTTGAACAAAATAGAATAACCTTTATTTTGTATTTGAGCAATGTTCAACAAATTTTGTTCTAAACTAGGAATAAAAAATACATCAGTTATAAGTTTGATACCTTACTTAGTTTGAACTGGTATTGAACTTTTTTCTTAAGCTTCCACAACTGTCCGATTGTCAAGTTTTACTTTAATTCTGCAATTAACATCCAAATTGTTGAACAACATACAATCTTTTGTCATATGGTTTGTGCACTCACTGTCCACATACCAGAAATTATTTCCACTCACACAAGATGCCTCAGTCATCGTGAAAAGATGATTTTCCAGCTGTTCATGATTCTCAGCAAAATAAATTTTCTATTGCTAAAGTGGATTTTGTTGTTATTGAGGCTCATTCTTTTGCTATGATACTTGATTTTTTCTCTTCCAACACATATTTTCTAAATGACCATTCTTTTTTCAGAGCTTATATTATATATACTTTCGTCACTTACTCTCAAAATGGTTGGATTTACCACAACTTTCGCAAGGATGATACTTTCGTTTTTTCTTATAAGTCTTCTGAACTCTGTGATTGTTTTCCTTTATTTGTGATGATTAACTTTTATCTTTTGAAGTTGAGGTCCCAAACTTATACCTTTGCCTTACTTGAAAAGCATTTTCAGTGATCTCATCATTTCTAATTGAAACTCTCTGCTCTTGAGCATGTAGCATACTGATAAGTTCAGCAATAATAAACTTCTTAAGATCAAATGTTTCTTCAATTAGTGAGAGTTTTGCTTCAAACCTTTCAAGAAGGTTGATCATTATCTTTTCTACCAATCTTTAATCTTTGAAGTTCCCTCCAAGCAATTTAATTTGATTCATCATATTCATAACCTTAGTAGAGTAGTCTTTAACATTGTCACCTTCTTGCATCTTCATTAGCTCAAACTCCCTTTTTAACTTTAATAATTTTACACCCCTCACATTTGTACTTCCAGCATATTCTTCCTTTGTCATTTTAAAACTAATCAGCCTTAGAAAAATATTTACTGATACAGCTGAATAGATAATGGATAGAGGTTGAAATTCTTCATGGAGCCCTTTGCATCTTGATAAATCTGTGTCAATGTAGGATTTTCAGATAAATGCACCCTCACATAATTCTCATCTACAGCAGCTCACAAGTCATAAGCAAGCAAATATAATTCCATTCTTATAGCTCAATAATCATAATTTCTTTTGTGAACAATGGTAGTGCGGGTAAATTCACATTTATGGTCATTTTTGTCAACTTGACGAAGTTTAATCAAAGAACAAGCTTGCTTACCTCCTCACAACCCACAAGTTCGACATTTCTTAATTAGAAAATTGTTTTCTCGTATATAATTGTTAGGAAGTTATGTTATTGTGTTTTTTTACTAGTATATTATCTTATTATTAATATGCAGTTGTGTTGAGATGTGAGGAAAATAAATTTCTAGAAAAATAGAAGAATGTTGAAGAAAATGTAGAAAAAATAAGAAAGTTTTCTGTTACTAGGAAAGTATTCAATTACTTATATTTTTTCATTAATTTGATACACACACACACATATATATACAAAGTGGAGCTCACCAATTAATCTTATCAACTCTGAACCAAATCATCATTAAATCAGAAAAGCATAAAACTGAACAAAAAATTATAAAGCCCTATTCCTATTTGACAGCTTATCACCTAAAGCTGTCAACATCGAAAAAAAAAAGTAGAAAATAGATAATATTGGTGGTGAAATGACAAAAAAAAAAAAAAAAATCAGCTTCTTGTTGGATTAAAAATTTAATTTTAACAAATTGCGGCTAATTAATAAAATATATGAAACTTTTTATTAAAATAAATACAAATTAAATAAAAATATTCTAATTTAGTAATTTTTATAAATAATATTTATAAATAATTTATTTTAAAAATTAAATAATGATGATTTAAAATTAGTAGTTATATTACATAAAACAAATAATACTTACACAAATCTTTATAGGGATATAGATTTTATACTTTTTATATATAAAATATATGAATTTTTATTAAAAAAAAAAATTTGTTTAGATGGTATATTTAAAAATGATACTATCACAATTTCATTAACTGAAAATTCTACTATAATGAAAACAGTAGAATTAAAACTATATTATAAAAAATCTACTGATCATTTAAATATCTTTGCTGTCTAATTAAACATTCCAACTTATTTTTGACATAATCAAAATTCAAAAATAAAATATCAAATAACATCATAAAAATAAAGTATGAAATAATATATTCAAATTAGAAATAAATTATTAATTTTGGAGTTAAAAATTTTCCACTTTTTTAGTGAATTTGTTTTTATAGTGAGGTCATTTGTTAAAAAAATAAAATATAATTAATTAGTCGATTAATAGAAACTTTGAACTTCGTATATGTAAGTAGGAGATGATTACGTCGACTAATCCAATTGATTAAAAGAGAACCAAAACATAATTAACCATATTTTTAGCAAACCAAATCAACAGCTAATACACCAAAACCAAACACGACTCTCCTGCCCCTACACCCTTGGAAATCAATCGTGATTGCTTTCATAGTATATTCACAAAAGTTCGATTCAAGAAATTAAAGAAAGAAATCAATCATGGCTAACAGAGGAGGTCGTCCACATGTTGCTAAATCTCATGATGGACTTTCGGTATGTTATAATAGAAATTTAAGCATTCCCTTCAGCATTTTTAGCTCTCAAGATCCTTCTCCAATTACCCCAAATGCCTTGGCTTCATCTCTTCCATTTTTCGTCTTGCAATTGTTCCTTGCCAATGTTGTTTATCGTCTCCTCTTCTATGCCACCAAGTTTCTCCAACTTCCTCATTTTGTCGCCCAGATTCTTGTAAGATTTATATATATGTATATTATTTTTTGGAGAGTTTTAACACCATATGCTTTTGATTAAATTGTTCTTCTAATATTTCTATATGTTATATGCGTGTGCAGTGCGGTGTGTTATTGGGTCCGTCCACGTTTGGGCAATCTCCTTTCTTCGAGAATTATGTATTCCCATATCGATATACAATGGTGCTGGAGACATTTGCAAATCTGGCTCTGGTCTACTACATGTTTTTGTTAGGTTTAGAGATTGACCTGTCTCTGATCAGACGGTCTGGGACTAAAGCTCTGAGTATTTCAATGGCTGGAATTTTTACCACCTTTGTTGCTGCCATTATCTTTTACAGCCTAGCTATAAAGCCTAATGAAGGTCCCCTTTTTTCCAAAGAAAGTGTTAAAGGTGTATTCTGGGCTGCAGCTCTTGGTTCCACAAGCTTCTCCGATCTGGTCCGAATACTTTCTGATCTCAAGCTCCTACGAACGGAGACCGGCAAGACAGCCATGTGCGCAGCCCTTATCACTGATTTATTCACATGGCTTCACGTCATAATTGTCATTTCAGTCTTCACCAAAGACGGCCACTACAAACTTCTTGCGGTGACTGCCACCTTTGCTTTCATCTTGGTCTCGTGGTTTCTGGGTCGTCCAGCTCTGTCTTGGGCAATTTCTAAAACAACCGAAGAAAGAAATGAATTGAGTGAAACTCATATATGGTTTGCTTTTGTTGGAGTTGTACTGTTTGGACTTATAACTGACGCATGTGGTGCTCATTCCATTGTGGGTGCCTTTGTTTTTGGAGTCATCATGCCGGAGGGTCATGCAATCAGAAATATGGTTGTGGAGAAACTTGGTGATTTCATCTCTGCAATTTTGATGCCTCTTTTCTACATCACCAGTGGGTTAAGAACTGATTTTATATATATGAAAAATTTTACAAATTCAACGAACTTGTATATAGCCATATTTGGGAGTTGTGCAGTTAAGATTATAAGCACATTTGTTGTCTCACTATTCTACAGCATACCATGGAAAGATGGTTTGGCTCTGGGCATCCTCATGAACACAAAAGGCATCTTGTCCCTCATCGTCATCAATGCTGGCCGTGACATGAATGTGGGTTACATGCATTTTTATCAATTCTTCCTCTCTTGTCTGTGTATATACATATGTATGTATGAACGCATTGTGATAACTGACATATATACATTGAATTGCTATAGGTTTTGGACAACAGAACGTTCCCAATCATGGTGATGGCGCTGTTGGTAATGTCATGCTTAACGAAACCAATCCTATCTTTTAGTTATAAGGTGAAAAAGGTGATGGTACAAAACAAGAACAGAAGCATTGAGAAAATAATGAAGCAAGAAACAGAGTTTCGAATTCTAGCTTGCATCCACAACTTGCACAATGTTTCAGGGATTACCGGTCTGCTCGAAGCTTCCAGTCCCACTCCACAATCTCCACTTAGCATCTATGCCATCCATCTCGTTGAGCTCACAGCTCAAACTGCAGCTTCTTTGCTCATCATGAACAACGAGTACAAGCATAGGTGGGACTCAGATGATGCTGAGGCCAACCACATTGCCAATGCTTTTCGATTTCTCAAGAAGAAAGATGAAAAAATCACAGCTCAAACCATCACTATTGTTTCTCCTTTTGCCACCATGCACAAGGATATCTGTAGCTTAGCAGAAGAAAAGCGTGTTACTGTCATCATCCTACCATTTCACAGGCAATTAAATGATACCAGCAGCTTGGGAGAGGAGAACCAAAACCAACACTTGGAGAATATCAATCAGAACGTGTTGAAATATGCTCCTTGCTCTGTTGGCATACTGGTGGATAGAGGATTGATGGGGGGTATAACACGAAAAGAGTTGCAACAGAGTATGAGCAGTCTTAGCCGTGGAAATAATGTTATCATGAAGAAACAAGTAATCATGTTCTTCCTAGGAGGTCCAGATGATCGAGAGGCTTTAAGTTATGCATGGAGGATGGCAGGAAGTCCAAATGTGAACCTAACAGTTGTCAAATTTGAGATGGGTGATCCAAGATTAGCAGCAGGAGAAGACACATGGGAGAGTGAGAAACAAAAAGACGATGACTTCTTGTATGACTTCACCTTCAAAACCATGAATCAACTGTCCATAACTTACAAGGAGCAAGTTGTGACTGACGGACCAGAGATGATACAAGTTATAAAACAAGTAGAAGATCACTATGATTTGTGCATAACTGGAAGAGGGGAAAGAATCAAGTCACCGCTGTTAAAAGGTTTGTCGGATTGGGACACATGCCCAGAATTGGGAATAATAGGAGACGTCTTGGTTTCCTCAAACTTCTCGTTGCGAGCATCTGTTCTAGTGCTGCAGCAGCACTTGGTATGTCATCTGGCCAAGAAGCTGGCTGCTGCTGCCCCTACTGCCATAGAGATTGGAGATAATCCAGTTGATGACAATAAGCCATTCATGAGTGCTCGAGAAGGGTAAATGAGGATGTTCTCAGATTTTCCTTTTTTTTTTTTTTTTTTTTTGAGGAACTGCAGAATCTTATGTTTATTGTCTTATTGAACTGAAGAGGAGAAGTATGTTGTTTCAGAAAATGCAATAGGTTTTCAAGTTTGGGTTGGAACTGGAATCCAAGTTGCTTCTGTGTTTGAGATCGGCTAGGTGTAAACCATGTTTAGGCATATTAATGTGCTTCTGATATAAAAGACAAAGCCCACCTGACTACTAACACACTTTTGTAGAAGACTACGCACGCTTCATCATGGTATCTCCCATGTAGTTTTTCTGTATGTTAGGCTATCTTGAAAGTTGAAAAAAAAAAACAACTCTAGAATTTTTGTTACCAAACTTAGTCTACTTGGAAAATGGTAAAAATCTGTTCTTAAAATAATAAAAATTAAATTCGTCTATATACAATTAAAATGATACATCCTTAATTCCATCAAAATAATCTTATATAGAACTATTTTCATAGAATTTAAAATGCAACCTTAGAATTCTACATGATGTCAATTTTCATCATCTCCTAATGAAATTTACACCATCCTACAATTGAACTAGATTTAAATTTACAAACCAGTTCTATAAAATTTCTAAATTTGTTCTAAACATAGCCTTAAATATTCAGTATTGCAGGTTTTTTTTTATCATAGTCAATGTCCTACCTATGTTCTATTTAGTATTCCTTCTCTTATTCATAGGTAACTCCATAGAAACATGTACTTTTCTTCAACTTAATATTTCACTTTAGTCTTTTTGCAGTAATATTAGCCAATAAAATCCATACCATCAATCCTCAGTTGAGATTTCCCATCTGAGCCATATTCTCAAAATATGCAAAATGGAAGTTCCTTCAAGTGTAAGCATGCAAATATCATATAATTTATGCTTTTCCTAGTTATATAACAACCTCTGAATTGGAAATTTTGCACTAGTCAACCCATGTCAATATCAGCAAACTTCTAAACCATTACAAACTTTTTTAAACACCTAATTGTCCCAAAAAAGAAATACCAAGAACCAGGCAAGAGCACCTTTGTCCATGAGAAAGCATGAAACCCCTAAGGGGTGATAAACCACAGTAATATGCCCGTACAAGCAGGAAGGAGCAAAAAACCATGTCCTAATCATAGATACAAATTGATATTGCTTTATTATCTACCATCTCTCAACCAATATATGTAACAAACATATAAATCGAATGCAGACAACACTCTTAGCACTAATCAGGACGAACGGACAGGTGATTCCCCAGTTAAGCTTTCACTTATGGCCGAGTAAAACAG